GTCCTAAAATGCGAAGACCACAGCCATACAGCCCGGAAAATCTACAACAACTAATGAACTCCAGCTGTGAAAGCCTTTGACAACATAAATAAATAAAACCTACAGGGAAGACTTTTGGTGATGGGAACCCCAGAGAAAGGTCATGTTGAACAAACAAGCAAGGAGTAGAACAAACAGCATATTGCTGACACTGCTTGACTTAGATCCATCACATGTTCTCCATTGGAGGACACACACACCAAGGGAAGCCTCTTATCCTTCAGCTGGAGGTGCTAAGATAATGCACCCACACAGGTAAGCGATGAGGTGTCCATGCATCAAAGTATGACTGCTACAACTGTTGCTCCCTGGCCCTCACAAATGACTACTCAGCAATCTTGCCTCTCTCAACAGTTGCCAGCTGTAAGTACAGTGCAAAAGGAAAGGAGAGCTAGCAGATATGCTGGCATGCAGGTGCAACCCCCTCCCCTGAAAGTAGGGGGCACAGTAAGCACAGTTACCAGGCCTGGGTAACTACTAGCAACTCTACTCTTTCTTGTGTCACTGCTGCCTTTGATGACTATTACCTTACAAGGTCATATCTCCATGGAATTTTAGCCAGATGTTTAATGTATAGTCAAATTAGTCCCTTTTCTGTTTAGACCCCAAAATATCACTGGAGGCCAACATTTTCTGAAAATTAAACAGAAGATATATGCCCTACTTATGACACTGTTTATTCTATAATTCTGACATGCTATACCTAAATTTTCGAAGCGATAAAGTTTACCTCACATGTTTCAAAGGAAGCTAAGCCTTTTCTCTTCTGGTACCTCCCCCCCAGCTTTCATTATCAACCACAAGAAATTAATGTGATGGTCTGATAGTTGCTGTAGTCTTTGGCATCTCCTTTTTTGAAGCTGGAATGTAGATTAAGCATTTTCCAGTCTCTGGGCCATTGTTTTGTTTTCCAAGGTATACCCTTCTAAATATGTTGGCTTAGAAGAGTGCTAACGGTTTAGGATTGCACTGTTAGGCAACTTTAGTATTGGAGGAAACAATGTGTATACATACAAAAATCTGTCCAGATAAAATCAAATCTAGCTTTATATCGATACTTAATGAACAATCACTGTCATGGTACCAATTTTTACAAATTGTGACATGTTGGAAAATTAAAGAACTGAACGTTTCAGGCAAGAGACTTACAGTGCAGTCCTAAACAAAGTTACAACCTTCTGAGCCTATTGCTTGAATGGATTTATACACACTGTTAACTATATCAGCATTAAAAAAGATCAGTAGTAAAAGATTAAAATCTTGCTGGATTTCTGTTGTAAATCTAAACAAATTAAGGGCTATCCAATTAGCTAGAGGGCAGGATGTTGGAATTTCCATACATTTGACATGTGGCATTTTTCTCTGTATGCTAACATAGGAGAAACTGTTTTTAAGTAGATGCCAAGATGGTATATTACATGAAACATGTTATGTGAAACAAGAGGTACACTGTAGTGATGGAAGTGGCATATTTGGTAGATCAGTCCAGTAGCAACACATTTCTGGTATAAGGATGAAGAGATGACTGGAACAATACTTGAGTTACGGCTTTCATTAGATACTCCTCTATATATCAGTTATAATGAGCTAATTTTATTCATGATTACTTCTTTCAGAGTAAACTACATTAAATATTGGAGAGTCTGTCTCTACAAAATTAGAATAAAATCTAGGAGTATGTCATTAAGTCAAACTGAATACATAGGACAAAAACAGCAACAACTGAAAAAGTTTGCTCAGAACTTGTATTTATTATTTATTGGCAGAATAAGGCATATGTCTATATGTGTCCCACAAGTTTTGTTTTAAAAACTATTAAATGATTGTGGAAACTTTACAGTATTGCTCATTTATTGTCACTTTATTCAAACATTTCTTTGATTAAAAAATACCACCAAATCAATACAACATAGATATAAAAACAGACGTTCAACTTAGCACAAAGGCACATAGATCCAACAAAGGAGATCTGTATGAGGAAGCAAGCTTCCATATATGGTTTCCATGCTGGATCATGAACAACCCATGTAGATAAAGTCTGGATGTGCATCTGGATACATATCCAGGTTCATATCAAAATAACAATGAGCATTCATTTTGAACCACATATGCCTTTCAGGATGTGGAACACACACGGCCATACATTTTCACAAGCCATTTAAAGGGAACTTTTGATAGAAATGGCAAGTTAATTTAGCAACATGTTCCTATGTTTTCTGGAACAACTGAGCAACTTTCTTGTTACGTGTTCAGGAAAGAGAAAAAAAAAGTGGTGAAGGCAGAGTAGAGATGTGAAGGCCAGAAGAAACCTCCAGAAAAATTCAAGATTTCTTCTTTTTAAAAAATCCAGTGGAAAATGTGGGAAATTTTGGTTACTGAAAAAGAAAATCCCTCTATTTTCCTTTTGTAATGTGGAATGTTTTAAAGACAAGGGTTTACTCTCTCAAAATGTATAGCATGAAAAAAAATTCTTCAAAACAAGCTATAGCATTTGGTAATGATAATTCCTGCATATACTGTAGATATGTGCCATATTTTCAAGAATATGTTTCTTGTTTAAAGTCATTGCTTGGTGACAAGTAATATGAGATAATGTTCTTGACAAGACAATACATTATTAAAGAGTCCAGGGTTTTCAATGTTATAAAGATTAACCTGACATCCAAATATTTAGGTAGGACTAACTATAATTACTGTGTGTTTCTGTTCAAATAATGTTTTCTTTTGTTTCCTGCAAGGTTTGTTCTCTAATTTCAGTTTTTGGCTGGTTTGTTTTCTGACTCTCTGATGGGAACACTTGATATATATATATGCTATGGTAGCATAGGGTGCAGCAGTTTGCAGTTTTCCCTCCCAGGCCCTGGGTATATTTGCAATTTTGCTTGTACAGAACTTGCAGTGCAATCCTAAGCAGACTTACACAGAAGGGTGTAACTCTGTTTAGGATTGCACTACTTTAAAGCTGCATACCTATGCTAATTAGTACAAACGTTATAAACTAAGTTATATATGGTGCATCCCCCAGCAATAGGACAAACAGCCCCTCTCCAATTTTTGCTGTCAAAAGCCCCTTCCCCAGCCTGTCCAAGGGCTGGCTTGCCCGGGGAAGGCACAGGGAGGCCTTCCAGGGCCATCCTACAAACCTTATGGTACTAAGAGGAAAAATCAATCCAAAGTAGTAGTATGGCATTTTTGGCACAGGAAGGAAAGATACATATGTGCAAAGACCACAAATTTTGGCACAGAAGGAAAGGTGGGAAGTTTTCAGCAACACAAGCAGAGCACTTCATTCTGAAGAGTGGTGAAAAGGTTAAAATAATGGAGAAACATACAATGGATGGTTTATCAAGGCCTGTTTCAGTTATTTAGGTATTCTGGGACAGCCCTGCATCCCCTTCCAGGTCTACACCCATCACTCACAGTTCTACCTCAAATTTCATACAACCTTCCCTTTTCCTAAGCCTCATGCGAGAGGCATAAATAGCCTTCCACTTTCTCCTCCCCTGGTCATTCTGCTGGGGCTGTGAATACTTGGTTCTACATAGAGATCCGACATTAGGAAAATGATCTCTCTGTCCACTGGATGGAGCCAGTATTTTAGGCAACACACCATAACACAATTTGCCAAATCTTTTAAAAATAAAAATCAATGTGTTTCACTTGTTTCTTGCTGGGCCACGGTTTCGTTTCCAATATACTATGATTACAGCAGAGGCTGGTATTCCTGATCTGGATAGCCCAGGCTAGCCCGATCTCATCAGATCTCAGAAGCTGAGCAGGGTTGGCCCTAACTAGTATTTGGATGGGAGACCTCCAAGGAATACCAGGGTCATGATGTGGAGGCAGACAATGACGAAGAAGAAGAGATTGGATTTATAGCTCGCCCTTCACTTGGAGTCTCAGAGCGGCTTACAAACTCCTTTCCCTTCCCCTCCCCACAACAGACAACCTGTGAGGTAGGTGGGGCTAAGAGAGCTCTCTCAAGAACTGCTCTTGAGAGAACAGCTCTGAAAGAACTTATGACTGACCCAAGGTCACACCAGCAGCTGCAAGTGGAGGAGCAGGGAATCAAATCCAGTTCTCTCAGATTAGAGTCCGCACACTTAACCATTACACCAATGGCAAACCATCTCTGAACGCCTCCTGCCTTGAAAACCCCATGCGGTCACCATAAGCCAGCTGTGATTTGACAGCACTTTCCACCATCACAGTAAAGTTAAACTCTGATATTTCTATATTTCTCTCAACAGAAGGGACCTGGAGGATAACCAAAAATGATTCATGGTTCTCAGTAGCTGTGAAGCTGAAATGTGGTACACATGTAATAGATTGTTGAAAAATCTGGGGAAAGGGTGTTTTTACATCAGTCTTTCCAATAAAGGCCACTACATGAGCTACAGGTGGACATTCCACTGTTTCTTCTCAAACATGGATTTGGAGAAGGAATTTCCAGGTGCAGTAAGAAGCACAGGACGTCTTCCTTCATGCACTTGAAGAATCAATAAGTTTTCGGAAGGTGGATTCCCAGTAGCACATAGGAACAGGTATCTATGCTTACAGAACGCAAACTTTATTTAGTAATAGTTGTTTGTGTGTGTAAGAGGGAAAGGGGAGGAAAGGTGGCATGGTATAGCCTGACCTTGTCAGAAGCTAAGCACGGTTGGTACTTGGAAGGGAGACTACCAAGGAAGGGTTTGCAGAGGAGGCAATGGCAAACCACCTCTGCTTCTCAGTTGCCTTGAAAGCATCCTGCTGGGGTTGTCATAAGTCGGCTGAGACTTGAAAGCACTTTACACATACATAAGAGGGAAACGGAAGGGAAGGCAGCATGGTATAGCCTGATCTTGCCAGATCATGGAAGCTAAGTAGGGTCCATATTTGGAAAGGACACCACCAAGGAAGAGTCTGAAGAGGAAGGCAATGGCAACACTCCTCTGCTTCCCCTTGACTTGAAAGCCCCTTGCTGGGCTTGCTATAAGTCGGCTGTGACTCGACGGCACTTTACACACACACGAGGGAAAGATTTTACACATACACAGTGGAATATGGACCATAATAACAACTGCATAAACATTGATATATAAGCACATGCTGAAAACCACTGGAGAACTGTTGAGCTTTGATAACCTCTTCTGTGGCTGCTCCCGTCTTTGCCTGTTCAGTTTTTCCATTTGCTGTAATCCCAGGCCAAGAACCAGCCTGTGAACGTTGGTGGCTCATATCCTTGTTTCACTATTACAATTGGAGTGCCTTTATCTCGTCCAGAAGGATCAGTATCAATGTAACGTTTAGCTAAAACAAATTAATATGCAAGATATTAATTTGCAAGATATTAATTTGCATCATAGAAAAGTATTAAAAACCTTCATGTTAAAACTCAGTCAGAAATCCCTCACCCCACATCTTCTTTCTCTTCTTTGTAACTCCAACTCCCTTCTACACAGTCGTGCCCTTTCATCCGAAAAGCCCTGCCTGTGGCATGTTGCATGGTCATACTGAAGAATGACAATTTTGGGAACTGGATTTTATTGAGAAATTTATTAATGTTTTACCAAATGTGCACTGATGAACTTTTTTGATTTAAAATATTATCCTTCAGCTGTATAATTTCAGCAACAGTTATACCACTGATGTATAAAGACAGTTACCTCATAACAGTTGAGGATAATTTCTCTAGGATATTTTCTAAAGGGGGACAGGCTTATATGGTTTCACTGTTGATACAGCACAGGGGCTTCCACATGGCAAGTTTCCCTGTCCCAATCTTTCATTAGCAGCAATCCTCCCCTCCCACCAAAACAATGGGGCTTTTCAGGGTTTTTAAAAAAAAATCTGCAGTTTAATATCATCATAACATTATAACAATCTGTGTGTGATGACTGCTGAATTCCTAGATCTTTCAAATATCTCCTTTTGTTGAAGAAATATGCTTTTCCCCTTATATCTCTGCAAGAAAAAGGGCTAGAGACGTTTTTTTAAAAAATGAAAGCTAGAAATGCAGAAAACCTGATGTGTTGATTGCTGTAACAAAATGGCTGTCATGTGGATGCAAATGGAAAAATCCAAAGTTGTCTACCCACATGGCAGCTGTCCAGACTTCCCCAAAACATAGGAGCAAAGCAGGTTTGAGAAGATTGGGAAAACCAGGGAAACCCCAGGAAGTGCACAATATACCATGATGCTATAGGGAAGTAGGACAATATGCTTCCCAACCGCACTGAACCCAGGGCACATAACCATAAGGGAAAAGTTAAGGAATCACAAAAAAGTTCTGGCATAACACATACATATGAGGAAACCCCATGTGGACAGAGAAATTACTATTAGGTCACAAAGGTAATGTAAAAATAGACTTCAGGATCACCTTAATCTCCTGTGAAAAATTTAGTTAGTCTGAGGCAGCATTTTATAAGACTGTTTTTATTCTCTGAAATACTTTGGCATCTATCCCAACCCCAGTTTGAATAATTTGAGCATTTCTCAGACTGCAGTCCCAGGACCCCACGGGTCTATGAGCCTGTCATGACCCCAGGGGTCTCTACCTTCCACCGCTACCACTCTGGACTTCAGGCCCCTGTTGAGAAGGCCCAGAGTACCCTCCCAGGCCCATCCAACATGCTCCTTTTTCAGCCGAGAACACACAGGTGTGATTGACCCAGGCAGAGAAAATAATTACACAAAAAGGGTTTATTAAAAAAACACTGGGGCAGGGACAAACAAGACAAGGCAAGGTGCTTTAAAACGGTATAACAGGGTTGAAAAGGCAAAATAAACATTAACGCAGCTACCGGTTCTACTTCCCGGCCCACAGCCTGCCTAGCACTCACGCTGAGCCCAGTGGAGCTCTCCCTCTCCCAGACCAGCCTGTCCCCAAAGTGAAAACAGGCCGCGGAGAGAGACCAGAAAGAACACCCTGTCCTCAGTTAACGGCTAAGACTGACTCTCCTCACACAGTTTCCAGATCACCTCAGAGCCCTTGTCAGAAAGCACAGATTGGGATCCAGTAGCTCTGATCAAGGAACCCTAATTGGCTGAGTTCCAAGGCAGTACAGTCTTAATACTGTCATCATAGTTGCATTTGTTATAAAACTGATTCCCCCCACACACTATTTTCCAATGCAAAAACATTTTACCACAGCACAGCAAAACACCTCTCTGCATTCAAGACAATAATAGCCAATTGTGGGTTTCAAGGGTTTCAACTGAATACCAGAGGTTCAGGTTGTATGTGACACTGGTGTTTTTCTATTTCTGTGAGCAGCTCTGAATGTTTTCCCTCCTGCCTACCCTGGTTAGAAGCTACTAATCAGTTAGGATGTTGCTGGCTGTCCTTGGCATAAAAGACACTTCCAATCAGAGACTGAGACCCCGGTCACATGAGAGGTTTTGGGCCGGGAGAGGGACAGATCGGGGGCGGAGCAAACGGGCGCGATCCCACCGCAACATCTGGGAAGCATTGCGCACCCGTCCCCGATCCGGCCCTTCCGCCCAAAACACCGCAGCAAAAATAAACCACCTACCGAGGTGGTTCTTCCGGCAAGTCCGCATCAAGGCCAGCCGTGGGATCGCCGGCGCGTCCTTCCGCCGGCACATCCCCGGCTCCTGGCCGAACTGTGCATGCTCAGACATGCGCAGTTCGGCAGCCTCCCCCTCCCGACCGTGGCTTCCTCCCTGGCATCTGATCGTGCCAGGGAGCAATGGCGCCGCATGGGATCCCGCTGCGGCGTCTCTATTTTGGTGCGGCTCTGATTAGCCGCACTTTGCCCGGGGTTTTTTCTGCCGTGTGGCAGGGACCTGAGTAGAACTTGGGCCCGTGACTTCCGACCTGTGGCCCTGTAGAAATGGCTGCCCTTTGAGACCTGCCCTGCAGGCCATGTACAGGTAAAACAAACATTTTACTTAAACCTTCTTTTAATGCGAAGCTGATATAGTTCTTCTTGTATTGTTCTGAATACATTAGACCAGTGAACCCCATTCAAAAGCTTGGGAATTACATGTGGCACTCTGACATGCCCACCTGTGACCACCATTCCCCAATGTTGCACCCATCCTGTGTTTCAGGAAGGTGAGTAAGACCATTGCCTGGTGAGGCTTGTAGTTGGCAGTTGACTCCTACGTTGAAACAGCCGCTGTGTGTATGTGGGGTTGGTGGGGGTAGCACAGAGGGAGCACAGTAGTTATGTGGCTATTTGGGTTGATGGTAATTGCAGATCGCCCGGACTAGCCCAGTCTCATCAGATCTCAGAAGCTAAGCAGGGTCGGCCATGGATGAGAGACCTGCAAGAAGTCCAGGGTTGCTACGCAGAGATAGGAAATGGTACCCCACCTCTGACGATCTCTTCATAAGTTGGCTACAACCTGACAGTGCTTTCCAACACCATCTATTGCAGACGAGGCTCTCCACAAGCCATGGACTAAGTACCACTGCACTAGAGAATGAAGGACTCCAATGTGGCACGTGCAGCATGCTGTGCACTTTGAGAAGGAACTCTTCAGCACATGATGATGGGTACCAATGAAGGGGGCGGACTTGGAGTCTGTGAATTTTCTGGAAGCAAAATGGGGAGGATGGAGTCCTCCACTTGCCAAAGTTTGAGAATTATTTGATTCCTTACCTGATTTAACTGACTCAGTACGTTCTGTTTCATTTGCATCTTTACCAATCCAGACAAATACCTAAAGTATGACAAAAATATACAGACACGGGTGATGGTGCAAATCTGAAGCAACTCCACAAAAAAAATCAGTGGCCTACAGTCAAACTCCATCACTATTTAAAATTCAGTCCTTGAGGCTACTACTTTCTTTTTTGGGTTCTCTGGCTCACAGTCTCCAAAATTTCCCTTTTAATGTTTACCTTTTCCCCTTTAGGCTGTGTGGTGCTTTTCTTCTGACCCATTTTCTCACTGGCCACCAAGTCATTGATTATTTCCCACTTTCCTTAAAGCCATAAGTTCCTCTTAGGCCCTTGATTCACAGGAGCAAAGGATTCTGCTATGTTAACTATGGGGAGGATCTCTGGATTGTGATTGCCAAAATAAGGAACTTTCTCTTTCACATATTTGTTCTTAGCCAAAAAGCCAAGAAGCAATGAAGTTTCTCTCCTAAGGGATGAGGAGTAAGTGGCTAATCCTGTAATGAGCAAAGGTATGCCTAGAATGAGGAAGGCAGGATTGTCAATTTCTTGTCCTGTGTAGGGTTGCCAGCCTCCAGGTGAGACCTGGAGATCTCCTGGAATTACAGCTCATGTCCAGACTACAGTGATCAGTTCCCCTGGAGAACATGGGAGGGTGGACTCTATGGCAATTCTACCCCACTGAGGTTCCTGTTTGCCCTCGGATCCATGCCCAAATCTCCAGGAGTTTCCCAACCTAGGTCTGGCAATCCTTTCCCCACCCCACCCCCCACTAGTGGCCTGGAGGGACCTGGCAACCCTAAGTCCCAAAACAATTACCACTACTGAACAGTCACCTGTGGAACAGTCAGTCTACAAACCAAAAACTAGCATTACCGGTTGTGAAGCTCCCGAGGCCAGGGTTTCCTCCCCACCAGGAATTACATTTTCTTCCAATCTCCCTGACAATAGCCAGACTCCAAGGGAGGAGAGTCTCTTTTAATGGTATAAACTGCCTTCAAACAAAGGTTTATGGACTAAATGGTCATACCTGCTGGACAAACAACACCCATCCTCTCTGTTGCCTGCTTCTGGCCCAATTTTAGGAATTCTTTAGTCCCACGTTCCAGGAAGTCCTGTAGCTGCAGCCTCATTCTGCTCCTCTCTTTCTGCAGGACTGTACCCAGTGGTAACTATGGCCCTTTTCAAACTGCCTTGGTATAACGTTTTAGTAAGTGGTTGCTAATGAAATTTTTTCTGTCATTTCAGAGAGACCCATTTTAGTAACCGGCTGCTAGCAGAATTTATTTACCTGTTCATACAAACCCACTTTCATTGGGTTAGCAAAGCGTGGTTGAGCCGCTTTTGAGGGAAACTGCTTTATTCCATTTTCTACCCCTTTGCTGCACTTCTGAATTGCTGTGGTGTGCTGTTTAAAATGTTCATAACACTTCCTACAATGCTGTATGAAACCCATTTCCTGTATCGCTTTACTTTACATCCAGTTTAGAACAGTAATGCCTCTACTGTCCCTGCTGCAACAGCCTGAGGGTCTCCCTTCCTCCTAGGGCTGCCAGATCCCCTGGGGGGGGTTGCCCACTCAAGGGGCTCCCAACCCACCGGCCTCTATCCAGCCAGCAGGGGGATCCCCACCCCCAAAGTAATCACTCTGAGGTGATGTCATCACACTGGGCACATTGCCAGGGGGATGCACTAGCATTCGGCCTGAAAACTCTATGGTATCATAGAGTTTTCAAGCTGAATCCTAGAGCATCCACTGGCAACGTGCCTAGTGTGATGACATCACTTCCAGGTGATGCCATCACAGCTTGCATGCAAGAATGTCCCAGACCAGGAGCTTCTCCCCCCTTCCCGCCGCAATAACTAAGAGACCTGGCAACCCTACTTCCTCCAAAGCAGCAGTCCCCGGAGACTGGTCTTTTTTAGCTGTGGAGACTCCAAACCTTGCTGGCTGCCCTATTCCCTACTTTTCTGCCAGTGCCAGCTACTGGCCCTGCTTCCTTCCCCAGTACTGCTTGCCTCTTCCTTTTAACCACTTCCCCCTGGCCACACATCTTTCCTGGCCATCTTACTCTAGAATAGGCCCTTGCTGTGGAGTAGGCCTCAAATCCCAAATGCTACATGCCTGCACCAAAGTTATCCCTGGGTGCCTCATCTAACTTTCCCTCCCTCCCCACTCCCTGCCACATAGGGTTCCCAACCTCCAGGTAGTGGCTGAAGATCTTCTGGGATTACAGCTGATCTCCACACTAAAGAGATCACTTTCCCTGGAGAAAATGGCAGCTTTGGAGGCTGGACCTGATGGCATTATATCTAGGGTTCCCAAAAAACCCCGGGGGGCGGAATTCCCCCCGGTTTCGAGCCCCGATTCCCGCTCCCGCGGAATCGGGGCCCGGGGGAAACCCCACCCCCGCGTGTGCGTCACCCGGAAGTGACGTCACACGCTGGGGGCGGGGCCACGCCATTTGAGGGGGAAACGAAGAGTTTTCCCCTCAAATGGCGTGGCCCCGCCCCCAGCGTGTAACATCACTTCCGGGTGACGCACACGCGGCGCGCGCGCACACGAAGAGGACGCCGTCCGGGAGCCCCCCGCTCCCGGACAATTTGGATTTGGCAACCCTAATTATATCCCATTGATGTCCCTCTCCAAATCCCACCCTCCTGAGTATCCAGCCCCCAGATCTCCAGGTATTTCCCAACCGGAAGCTGGCAACCCTACTGTCACTTCCCTTAGGGCTTTTCCTTTGCTCCCCTCCCTCCCTCCCTCACCCCCAACTTGTGGTGCCATATGGGGTGACACAGGGAGACCGTTTCCAGCCTTGCCTTTTGTATGCTGTGGAGCTTGTCTCAAGATGCAGCACATTTTGTAGACGCCTGCATTTTTAAAAAAACAAACTTTTTTTATTCGGGCCAGCCATATTGCCAAGTCACACAGAGTGGCTTGAAGGAGGCATTTCCTTCACTCATGGAGTCCCCCCACCTCAGCAGCACGCCTCCACAAATAAAAGGAAGACATTTTAAATTGCCTTCCCTTCACTCGCAGAGTCGTGCCGCCTCGGCAGTACACCTCTGCAAGTGAAGGGAGAAGGCATTTAACTTCCCTTCACTCATGGAGGCATGCCACTGCAGCAGTGCGACTCCATGAGTGGAGGAAGGCATTTTTAAATGTTAAATAAATTCAGGTTTCCCAATTATTTACCCAAATTCCAATATCATACCGATATTGGGATTCGGAAACATCAGGAAATACTGATTTTTTTTTAATCCAATGGACTCAAATCCAAAAGAAGCCGATTTTTTCTGCACACCCCTACCTGATCCTTCCCCCTCAGCATTCTATACGTCATTCTGCTGAATGTGTAAATCAGGCCTTGCAGGTATCACAAAACTGTATTCACAAAATATGTCTTACCTGATCCCAAGTATCCAACAGCATGACATCATCTTCAGCTAAATCATCCTGAGTGAATTCTCCAGGAACCTCCTCAATCTATAACGCACAAGGAAAACCACTGCTGTATTGTATATTCCCCTAAACAAAATACCATAGTGTAATCTAAAATGCTCCCTGATTTATGAATGAACTTATTTAAGAATAGTATTTTTCTTACATGTGTGTGTGTGTTTAGCTATTTTATTTTTCTTAATGTCAGTATTTAAGCCATGTGTCTGTTTCTCTATAAATAAAAAAGTGTACCGTATATACATGAAATATGGGATATGATATATATTTCATATTTCTGTATGTAATTTCTGTCTCTTCTGTCTCTCAGTTGGAATCCTGGCCAGTCTTGCTGGATACTGTAATTTCTGTGATTTTTACATATTTCTAAATGCCAAGCAATGTAATATACTTTCTGCTTGGCCAGTCAGAATCCAAGATACTACAAGGGTACATTCAGACATCACATTTAACCATGATAAAGAGTTGGGGGGGGATGCATGAATCTGGCAATAGCTAGGCTCATACACATGCCTGGTTCCTACCTCTCATCCCTTCTCACACCAAAAGTCCTGGGTAAGCACCCATATAGCCAAGTTAAACTCTGCCCAGCTAACTAAGAGACCAACGCAGGGTTTAATCCCAGCTTGGAATCACAATTAAAGAGGGTGGGGGTGAACTAATTCTGGTTAACCCACTTATCCACAAGAAACTAAGCCTAGATTTGTGGACATTTTCCTCAGCCTTGGTTACATCTGATGTATTAATACAGCCATGGTGGCATTATACCTGCCCATCCACAGCACTGGATTATCTCCCATGTGACTCCACTGAATATGAAGCCAGCCCTTATTTTTTAAGCACTGTAGAAATTGTACAGTCTCTGCAGAAGCAGTTCAGAAAGGATTTAATCAAAGAATGAAATGCAGCAAATCCGTTAAACTAACTAGACACCCAGTAACATATTACAAAAGCTCCAATTAGCAGATTTTGTTCATAGGCAACAGTACAGAACACTGAGTTTCTGTAAATCAGGGCAGATGTGTGTGGGAATATGTATCAGCACCTGCTAGTTCACTAATGAATAAGCTGCTATCCTTTGATAAGCTATAAAGCTACTAATAATGCAATCTCAAGAACACTTTCCTGGGAGTAAACTCCATTGGACACACCTGAATAGGATTTTGAGTAGACCTGCTGAAGACTGATTTTTAATTGGAAGAATGAAGCAGTCACTTAATGTTTATTTATTCACTTCACTTAAGTCAGCTATGACTTGCCAGCACTTTCTACCCCCATACGGCCTTCCTTCTCAGTGGGGACCCAAAGCCATTGATGTGATTCTCTTATCCTCCATTTCTTTCTCACAACAATCCTGTGAAGTAGGGTAGGCTGAGAGTGCGTGATTAGCACAAAGTCACCAATGATAGAGCGGGGTGCAGAGTTTAAAGTCAACTAGATTTCACTCAGTTTTAAAAATGAGCAGCTTTGTTCTGCAGTGTGTTTGGCCAGAGTCTCTTTTGTGAGTGATTGTCGGGGTCAGTCAACTCAGGTGACTGAGTAACTCTCCTCTTGCTGGGGTGTGGAGGTGGGGGTGGCAGTGATCCTTTTATTCTTAGCTCTTTGTTGCAGATACTTTGGGAAGCGTGTCAAATTTTTAAAAAAGAACAGAACTCTGGTTCGATTCCATTCTATTTGAGAGAGAAAAGGGATGCATGGGGATATGCCTGGCTTGTGCATCCACAGCAGAGCGCAGAGAAGCATATATGAATGCACAACTATGGGTACAACAGGGTGCATGCTTCTTTGGGAGCAGCAAGTCCGCTTGAAGTCTCTGCTGGCTCATAGCTAGGAATTGGGGGGGGGCTCTGTTAATTAAATTAGCACACACCCCCGGCACACACACACCCCAAAAAAATTTTCCTAGCTACGGGCCTGATAGTCAGCATTCTTAACAGGCTCCCATGTTTCCAACTCTATTAAATTAGTGTAGGGCTTTGAATGAATAACATGCCATCAAGTCACAACTGGCTCGTGGGGACCCCCATCGACAGGATGTTCAAGGCAAGAGGTGGGCAGAGATGGTTTCTAGCCATGAAATAAACAAGACAAAAAGTAACTAAGGCAGCAATTCTAAGCCAAGCTACTCTGGAGTAAGTACCATTTTATCCAATAGGGCTTATACCTAGGAAGGTGTTATCAAGATCACAGCCTACATCATGCTTGCATTCAGAACCCTGGCATACTTTGGATCTTAGCCTACCAAAATGGTCAACACCTCTTTGACCAAGCATATGCTCAAAATGCACAATACATATAGTAACATTTTGCAAAGTGGCTGGAGAGAAAAACACTGACCAAACAGAAAGTTGCATAAATGGGATGAGTAGGACAGAGAAATAGGACTGCTGGTGGACGGTGGCATGACTCTTTAATGCCATCAGTCACACAAGGCATGAATTCCAAGTTGCAATGAACCCCCTCCCTCGTGACTTTATGCTCCCCAGCAAGGGATAATTTTTGAATGACCTTGTTCAAGGTTCAGATCATAGCAGACTGTATCAACACACGCAGAATCACTAAAATCAAGCAAAAACAGAGCAGAGAGACATACAATAAATCTGCCAGTCTTATTCGAACACCCATAGAGACGAGGAGGGTGGTCTTCCGACTCAGTCAGCAACTGGGCAGATGTCTGATATTCTTTCTTTCCACCAAGGGCTTTCCAAAATTCCCCTGGAATACACAACATAAAACACAACATATACTTGATGAAACCCCGGTATTGAGGGAGCAGACTTCCTCCTCCCATTGGTCCTCATTTCCCTTTGATGTTGTCATTGCCCACCCTACCAGGACTCTCTCTAATACATGCCCCTTACTGAAGGCAGAAAGAGAGAGAGAGAGAGCAATCAAACCACTGCCAGTCTTGAACCATTCTCTCCAAGTAGGAGAGAGCCCCTTTCTTGATTGCTAAAGAGAGTTCTGATTTCATGGGTACCAACCTGGTTCCTGACCTTCTTCAATTCTAGAGGTTTGGCATCTCAGGACATTGGCTACATATAGGGCTCCTTTTTCTTCTTCTTTGCTTGCTCCTTTACCAACCCAAGTATATCCAGAGTTTTGGGGCAGTTTTAAAACAAAGACATCATTGGAATTCAAAGAACTCGCATTGGCATCAACCTGTGGTGAGAATGGGATGGGATTCAGTCTTTTGATTGGGCACCTCACATATTTTTGAACATGGTGGCAAAAACTAGTGCCGCCCTAAACCACTGAGTAAACTTCACTGGTGTTGCATGCTATTGGAAATTTTAAAAAAGATTCCATTACATAAAGAGATACAGAACACTAATCAGAATGTTACAAGTAAATAGAACATAGGTTTGTTTTTCCCACAAAATTTTCTTAGGTAAGGCCTCCAATTTAGCCATATAAGACATAAATAATATTACAGAAGGAATGTGAGCTGTACCATAATGGGTCTCAGTGGAGGAAAGGAATCAGACATTGAACCAATATCTATGTATGAAACCCATATACAAAAGTAAAGTGATTTTTATGCCTGCTAGTATTTTCTTCTTCTAACAAGAAAGAGAGCCTGAATCTCCCAGCAGCAACAGACTGCACTGCTAGCTACACAAAGGTTTTGTTTATTTCCTCATTCTGAACTGTTCTCATAAAATGTACACATTTTTGTCTTTTGTATGTCCATAAATTGGCATTATATCTATATGGTAATATAAATTATGTACATTATATGCATAAATACAATTTTTTAAACATACAACAGACATACATAATACAAACAATTCCACAAAACAAACAGCAAAAAGCAAAGAATTAAATCCACCAACATAAACAGAAGCAGATATAAAATTAAACAAAACCAATAAACGTTTGTTTATCCTCAGTGCTGTTCCTTGGAGGATAGATTAGTGGATGTGAAATTTGTTACCTCTACAATCCTGGTGATGTAAGCTAGATTTCTGCGGATCTGGAACAAGCGTGTTGGAGGAGCAGGCACCTGACCACCTTTCTTGGATGTCCCATCCTTATAAACAATGAGTGGCTTGTCTTTGAATAGACTCAGCAAGTGCAAAGGTTCCTTGCCTTGGGAGACTCGGATCTGCTAAAACACAACACCGCAGACACAACTCTGTAAAGTCTCCTGAAAGGCTACCTGCTCCCCTGGCCTCAGACTGACAACAGAAAAAGATGGTTCATAGGGTAAAAGAATGCAAGAGTGTTGCATTGAATAATTTAAGGCGTGTGATTACTGTTGGCCATGCAGTCACGGCATTTGAAAGCAGTTAATGTTTGCCTTGCACACCACTACGAATGTAACATGCTCATTCCCAGTTTAATCCTGCTATCATAACACTCCAGCATGGGTTTGGTGTGAGGAATGCACTGAAATGCACCTGAAAGCAAGCTCTCCTGTCATATCTATTTCCACTCAGTTTGTGTATCTGCCTCAGTGTGGGCAAACACAAGGCTGTCTGAGAATGGAAATGTACAAACTATACTAATTTTCAACAAGAGCTAACATTTAAGGACTAAAGTTAGATGGACTCTTTAAAAGGAAATCACAAAAAGCAGAGCTGATCTGTGGAACTTACTGCCATAAGAATGTGGGGCAGCCAGAAATTTCTGGCTTTAAAAAGATTAGACCAACTCATGGAGGATGAAGATAAAAATGCCCATTCACACTCACATTGACAATATCTTGGCACTTCAAATACCCAAGTGCTGTCAGTTAATAACAAGGAACTAATTGCCTGTGGCAATGCGCCCTTCTAAAGCATCCAAGCTACCAAAAAGCAGAAACTTGATCATGGAGCAGAAATGCCATGAGAAACATTTGGGTTGGATCCAGGCAGCCTTTTCGATCCATGTCACCCAATTTTCTTCCTTCCTACAGCCTTCATTCCACATGGTGAGAGGCCCATGCAGGTCCCATGATCTTAATTATAGCCTTTGGGGTAGGCAAAGAGGATCCTCTCCTTCCCTTTTCAGAAGCTGAAAAGCTTGTTAAACCCAACCCTATGCCTTCCCTAGTGCTTGGTTTCCAGCACATACAGAATCACTGGAGTCAAAAGCAAAAATAATACTAACTAAAGTCTGAATTTAAAATGAAGAACTTTCCTTTCCCTCCTACATTAACAGTAGCGTACTTCTGGATTTGCAAAAACAAGAAGAAGAAGAAGAAGAAGAAGAAGAAGAAGAAGAAGAAGAAGAAGAAGAAGAAGAAGAAGAAGAAGAAGAAGAAGAAGAAGAAGAAGAAGAAGAAGACAGAAATGGAGGGCAGAAGAAATGGGAGGGAAAGAAAGAAAAGAATGTGAACTCAAGTAGCTTTTAAAAAAGACTGTCCAGTGGGGGGGGTGGGTGGGTGGAGAGACACACATGAAGGAAGTATAACAGCAAATACGGAAAAGAAAGCTACCGTTGCTGGGTCTACATGTGCAGCAGAATGAATTGGTAATGTGGACTGTGCCGCTTCAGTAATGGGGAGGAGAAAAGACAGCTTCTGAGTGTTCCCTTATCAACCTTCACCCCTTGCAAGCAGAAAAATAGCACATCAGGCACAAAGGTGCTAGCCTACTTCGGCCTGCTTTGCTGTTTTTCTGTTTGCAGGGAACATTTAAGCCAAGAGAGCATTCCAAAATGCATCTATAGAGCATTGTTACAATACAGTGCTGTCATCATTTTGAAGAGGAAGAGAAACATCAATGTCTTTGGAGATTCAGAGTCTCATCCTTTTGCAGGCAAGACTGATGCAGGGCCCTTTCCTCTTCATCTGACATCCCTTCAGGTGACTTAACTGAGGCTCACCTTGTCTGACCGATGGATATAGAGGTGCCATCAGATAAGGAGAGGGCCAAAGGAACCCAGCTTCACACACCATTATTTGGGTGTACAAGAGATTGACAATTCTGGGCAGGTGCTGCCAGCTTTCAAAGTAAATATGCAAGTATTTGCAAAGACGACAACAGTTAAAATCACATCTCAGAGATTCCTTTTTATTGTTACGTAGTGCAGTGCCATCTTGTGACAGAAAAGATGGCTGCACCTTCAGTGTGTTAGGATGATCTCTGTGTTTAGCAGATTGTTGTGTCCCAAGGATTCTCAAATCCTTTCAGTGTATCCCTTTCTATCAAGACAGCAGTTATGCAAGCCTTCTTTAAGTATGGCAGGGTTGTTCTTAGTCAAGGAATAAGCAGCTCTAAGTGAAAAGCTAAATCACAACTATATAAACCAAAACATCCAGTTAAGGGGAATGCACTTGAAAAATAAACTGGGCAGGGAGAAGGGGGAAGCATCTATTGAATATTGCTGGAAATATAAATGTCAGACACTTGGGACATTTACCTGACTCAAATTACCACTAGCTTCCTCCCCTACACTTTCTTAAACCTGTAATCGTTTGCCAACAACTTCATTCTGTTGCTGCTCAGCATTTGCTAGGACTCTGTTGGAACCAACCAGCCCAGAGACAGCTGAGGCCAGAATGATACCCCTTGGCCGGGATTCAGTCCTAACAAAGACCCAGCCTTCCCTGCACCTTCTTCCCCAAAACTGTTCCCCTTGTACTAAAGACCTATTATCTCACTTCCAAGGCCTTCTAAACTCTTCTGGGGTAGGGGGGAAGAATCACTGAACTTCTGAGGATGCGTTCTCTTCCCTTTTCCAAACTTGCTACTTCCTTCTCCATTAGACTAGGCATTCTTTGGAATGGGAACATGAGCACAGAAGTATGCACATTCATGGATAGGTAATACTGGTAGAAGAAATTGCTGAGAAATTCAATCTCATTTTATACTCCCACAAAATATACAGAGAATCTAGCAAGACTGGTTGAACTCTCAAGCGGCTTCATGTTTGCACTGTCAACATTTTCAAGTTTATTAGGAAGGCACAAACCTGTACAGCCCGTCCCATAAGCGATCGATCAAGCTGAACAGTCAAGAATGCTGAAGCTGTCAGCTCATCTTTAGTTGCATTTGCCCCTTGCCTATGGAGGGAGAGGACAGAAATCTGCATTAGGATTTCATAAAGCTTCACCCTAACTCTGTAGGAAACAGTGCAGAAGAGAACTAATTGGGAGAAAGTATAGTTGCTTGTTTTCCACCTTTTATCTGCAACTTTTTATCTCTAATGAATAATTGATCCCATCCTGAAAGCTCAGGGGTGCTATCAACATGTTAGACGTACATAGCTGGGGCCAACATTAGTATGAGAGATATGGAACAGAGAAAAGCCAAGGAGATCCCGGATAGGTGAGCAAAGAGCTCTGCAATCTTCTCTTCCGCTCCTGTCACTGCCAAGATCGCCTCAAAAACTCTCCTCCCCTCAGGTCTGCACCGCAGGATGTGGGCTTTCAGAGTAGTGAATGGAATCACACTGGGGGTACAGCAAGTGAAGGTCAGCACAGCTTCAACTGAACATACCACGTGTAGATGATCTGTCCTTTGGGATAGGTGTACAGTATGATATAGCAGTCACCACCATAAAACTGTCCATAGGTCTCAGGCTCTATGGGGATTCTGCCACTGCTTTCGACACGCCAAATCTAGGACAGAAGAAAATATAAGAATTCGTATTTTCAAAATGGATCTTTTGATAAGTTGACAAATGTCAAAAGGGCAGCTAGCTATAATAGCCTGCCACAGCAAAAACAACAAAGAGTCTTAATGCACCTGGAAGATTAATGGCTGGGCCCTGCCAGCTTCCTCAGGGGCACAAGAGGGAGAAAGGGCTCTGCTGGACAAATGAAAAGGCTGGGGATTGTGGGACCTGCATGGACAAAAAAGCTGCACACAATGGGGGTGGGGGAGAAGGAAGGAAGGAGGATTGGCAGGAGTATCCCTCCTGCTGTGGCTACTATTATAACAATTGCGATGGATCTTCCCAAACAAAACAAAACAAAACAAAAAACCCTGATGGCAGGTGGAGGCAATGGTTGCTGTGGAGGCCCTGCTTCAGTTGCCCCTACCATGTGAAATTAAATTGGTGGCGGCCACAAAAAAAGGGCCTCCTCAGTTGTGGCACCAAACTTCGGTACTCCATCTCCAGAGAGATTTGTAATATTTTATAATTCTAACTATATTTATTGTTTAAAGGTTTTCATGTTTTCAAGTTTGCTGCCTCGTGGACCCTGATCAAGTAGAAGGGTGGCATAAAAATGTTTTAAATAAATAAAATAAATATCTAGGGTTTCCAGACAGTGCCTGGCATCATGTGGGGGGATTGGGAGGGGGGCACAAAGTCACCAGAGGAAAAATGTAAAAATGCAGCCTTATGTACTTATCAGACCTTTATACAGGAAATTACAAAGTATAGTACTAGGAATCACCAGAAAAATCTATGGTTTCTATGCTCAAAGTGACAGTGGGCAACAGGACCTGGGGGTGGGGGATCCTCCACCCCTGCGATGGACTTGGAAGCCCTAGCTCTATCCTATGTGATGTGGGAAGAGTAAGAGGCCTTTCATCAGGAAAAGCTATCGTGCCTCCTCATGTAACACTGATTAAAGTATATATTCAGGCAAATAAAAGGCATGTCTAACAGTATTTTATGGATCCAAGGGACCCCCAGTTTTCAGAGAACACTGTCTTGAACACAGTGCCAGATTTCAGATGTTTTTGGATGTCCGCACTCTATATACAGTGTGCATTCATGATCTGGGCTGCTTTTAGAAATCCATCCTGTTGCATGTATTTATTCATTGCGTTTTTATCCTTCCCTTCTTCCAAACAGTGCATGATGATGTATATCGGTCTCCCCTCTTCCATATCACCCTCACAACCCTGTAAAGTATATTGGGCTAGAGTGTGTGACTGGCCCAAGGTCACCAGAGACCCTGCATGGCAGAATGGGGATTTGAACCTGGGTTTCCCAGACCCTACACTTTGACTGCTACACCAAGCTGAGAACAAGACTACCAATACAAAGCAAATTTACTTCAATAAAGAAAAGCTGGGTAGAATGAAAGCAAGAAAAACACACATACCTCCACTTTTCCTGAGCCATCATCCACCATGTTGTGCTGGGCTGCCATCTGTGGAGACTCATGTAACTTGGTAGCATCAAACTCAATCTGCTCAATTCTTGCTACTCTCTCTGTGACGTACACTTTCCCAAAGCCATTACTTTGATCTTTATCCTTCCAGTCTCGAAAGAATTGCTTGAAGAGTGGCGTTTCACCTCCTTCTGGAAGAACTTGAATCTGGAATCAAAGACAACATAAGCAGAAGGTTGGAAAGCCTAACGTTTTCTGAGTTCTTACAGTAAAAAGGGGTATGGTGATCTATAAGAAAGAGAAGCAGTGACTGGCTGGTCCAGTCTCTGAATATCCCAGCATATAAAAGAAAAACAAAGTGGGCCTACTGCAGATGTTTCCACCTAAC